ATCTACAAGAATACTTACTGTAAAGTGAAAAATGCTACCCAAGGAAATCTGAGATCGTGTGTATCCACAAACACATTTTGTACAAAGACATTGGGGTTACAACTATGCTGGAAAAGAATATATTAAAATAAATACACAAACTGTATAAAATATAATGATAAATCATATGCTGGTCAAATTCGATTCACAGTTCACAAAACAGCTGACATAGTACTAAAGCTTACATTAAGATATCTCCCAATATTTCCCTGAGATTTGGCATCCATAATGTAGCAGGCCTGTCCATCCTGGTAATAATTTCTAGTTGCTCTGTGCACAGGCTCTTCATCTAAAAAAGCATTAATTCTAAAGTCTTACCATTATATAATGTACCTATCTTAACTAGTTCAAAGCAGAAGTTTTTCTTTAAATTTGTACTGGTAGTACAGATAAGAAAAGTAAAACCCAATTTTATCAAAATTAAGAAAACTTGTATTGGTAAAAAAAACATCTTCCTGCAAAATTGTACAATTGTGTAATAAAACGTTGAAAGTTTGAATCAACATTGTCATTTGACATAGTTTGTCATGTCTTCAGCTGCATTGTCAAAGCCCAACCAGATGTAAATAGGTGTGTGTTTCTGTGTGTGTGATTTTTTTTTTGTTTGGAAATGGCAATGGACCAATATCCCTCTTCAGGATACAATGGTAAAGAATCACCTCCTAACCTCCATTAAAAAGAAAATATGTAACTTTCTTCTGCATACTCACCTATTCCTTCACTATCTTTTTGTCCTTCTGCTGTGTGTTTGCGTTTGGGATCAGGCAGGTTCTTGAAACGTGAGGTAGTGCTCCTACGAGCTATAAAGAATAGAAAATGACTTCAAATTTAGAGATCAAGCTTGAATTACATATAGCTGATGGATTACTGATCAATTTGAAAGACTAAGATTCAAATACAAAAGATTTTTCCTTTTCTTTTAATCTGTAAACAGTGCTTAAAGTGCTACAATTTGCAAGTGATTCAACACCAAACTTTTGTAAACAAAAGAAAATCATAGTCCAAGTAAAGAGTTATGGTTTGAACGTAAAAATTACCTGTGAATGTTTGAGTTACATGTGGATGATTCTGATCTGAGACTGAAAAATAAATTGCCTCATTTAAAGGAAATGAATGTACTGTATTTTTTTTTATATCTGACAAGTACAAATGTATTGAACTTTTACTGATCCTTTAAGTATTATTCAAAGAAAAGGTGTTCCGGACCTCTTTTTTCTGGAGCTGCCTCGTTTTTCTGAGATTTTTGAGTGGGTGTGTCCCCGTCGAGATCAGGTAGTGAGTCAGTGTCCACAGAATCATTGGACGCAAACTTCTCCATCTTTGATCCACTGGGTGTTGTCTGAACCGTATCATCTTCCTCATCCTCATCATCGTTAATTAGGATTACCTCGTTATTCAAGAGGGAATTGTTCCCTGAAGAAGGGGCTCCAAGCTTGACAGACCTTGAAAAACAATGAAAGTCAAAAAAATAATACTACATACAGCAATTTGTATTTAAGAATGAAGTTATATGTTGGAGGAGATCACATGAAAATTTATCCTACACTTTTTATTTCATTTTGAGAAGTAAAAATATGTACCTTTTAATTAAAATTTTCAGTAAATTACATTATTTCTACTAAAATTCCTATCAGGAAAAGTCACCCATAACAGTGCTTCATGTGACAAATGAACAAATGACAATACCAGATGTGAATTCAATACCCATTCCAGTGCTGGTACATATTTTTAAATCATAAAGTCCTAAACAAAGATGAACATGTTTTGTTACAATCTCAAGGTCAAAGATCAATGTCGATTGTTCGATGGCAGAAATCGAAACACCTCAATCTGATTTACCAATGTGTGAAGTTAGATAAAGATGATCTGAACAAGTCATCCTCAATAGGAATAAATATTTCATTTCCAGTCTCGAAATAATTAGTCAGAGCCATGCAATGTCAACTCCAAATGAGGTATTATATATAATAATGATAAATATATAATGATAATCATCTAAACAAAATTGTTGAAGCAAATGGATGGTCAGACACCATCAATCCAGAAGCTGAATTTTGTTTCACAATCAAGCCAAAAACAATGTGGCTAAAACCAGACATGTTTGCAAAATGTGTATAAAGAAAGAATCATCATAATACAATTCCTCTGGATCAGCTATCAAATTTTTACACTGTCCTTGTGAAGGCCAGTTTAAGGATTTGCCATTATACTTTATTCTAAATGACCTCTGAGTTCTCACCATTCTTCTTGATCTGTAGACCTAGATGAGTCTCGTCTGAGCACCAGTTTACATGGCTCTTTCCTGGTTCCCTCCTTGGTGTCTGTACTTCCTCCCTGTTTTCTTGTCCTTGTTCTGTTGAAAAAGGAATTCTAACTTTCACAAATTTATAGATTTATTTCCCCAACTCTCAGGTCTAATACTCTGTCAGACGGTCTTGCTTATTCAAACTGAATACATGAAATCTTTGAAACATATTTGATTTGTCATCACCTCAGCAATTATACATAAATCTGTATTAAGTAAAAAATTATCATTATTTTAATAAATGCAAAACCATATTTCATTTTATGTTCATAACACCAAAATGCACTTCTTTAAAAAATCACTTAAATTATCTCTTAGCTTATCAGAGAATTATCCAACAACTTTTGCAAAGCTTTCATGCAACAAAAACAAAGAAAAAGAGACCCTTGGGCCACAAAGCTCACTTGAGTCATCTTGGTCCTGCTGTTCTTCAGATAATAAGATTTATTTAAAAAAAAATCCCCTCACTTTATTCCCATGAAAAATTTTGACCCCATATTTTGGCCCCAACCTATCCTCAAGGGGGTGATGACTTAACATGACACAAGATGAAGATTCTTCAATTAAACTAATAAAGCCTTGCTGTTCTGTAGAAGATTTTTTTTCCTTTCTGTATAGATGTACAAGCATCCCAGATGATAGCCTCACAGCTAATAACTCCAGGGTCAATAAATTGAGAGAAAAAATTCAATCCCACATCTTAGGATTTTTTTCCTCATATTAATATCATTTCATCTACTCTTGAAGTTTTTTTTTTATTCCTTATATATATTCCCATGTAAATCCCTCATTCTACCTCCTGGGGGCTATGATTTGAACAAACTTAAATCTTCAATACCAGAGGATGATTGCATATTTATATGAGTTATCCTAGCCCTGCTATTTTTCATCAGATGTAAAAAGATGTTTTCTATATATTCTTATGTAAAACTTTTATCTTCATCTGTGGCCTACCCTACTTCCACTGGCCATGATTTGAACAAAATTGAATCTGCACTTTCTTGGAATGCTTGCATACTTAATATTACCTGGTAAAATTACGAATTAGGGCCCTGCTATTCATGAGAAGATTTTTTCCTATATATATTCTCATGTAAAACTTTGATCCCCTATTGTGGCCCCATCCTTTCACATAAATTTCATCTTTTCTAGCACAGTGGTTCTTTAGAAATAGACATTTAAATGACCCCATCCTATGTTTGCCTTTTCTTAATTATCTCCTATGTAAGGAGGTATAGCCATTCATTTGAACAAACTTTAATCACATCACCAAATTTTGGCTGAAACTGGCACTAAGGTTCTGAGGAAGAACATGACAATTTGAAAAAAAAAAAAAAAAACAAAAAAAAAAAAACAATAACACACAAATTCTGATCAGAAAAACTCAATTTGGCTCAGGTGAGCTAAAAATATTGTACATTCAATTTAGCAAGATATTTTCGTGAAATTATCAGCTGAAAAAAGTTTCCCAACAATCTTTATTATAATCTGCATGTACTAATTCATTTTACCAACATGGACAGAATTTTGGGTTTATTTACATTATTTGGCCATGTACACCATGTGTTCAAGACTACTTGGGAGTAATATTTTTCTTCTTCAAATTTTACATGTGAACATTTAATGATTAAAAGAAATCTGGTGTATTTATACACATTAAGTGTTACTATTACTGTAGAAAGAATACATGAAATTGGTCTTTGTAAACAATGTTCTTTCATAATTTGATCTCCATATACATGTTAATGATTCATTTGAATGTTCCATACAAATAATGCAACAGTTTTAAAATTAAATTATTGACTTTAAAAAAAAAGCATGAATCTTCAACAAAAGAATTCCAAACAACAAAATAACTTAAAACAATACTGAAACATCAAATAAGGAATACCCCTTTTTGGATTTCTTATTCTTCCTGCAATGAATATTAATAAGTATTGCATAATCACTGAGAATTTGTATGAAGCACAAGCAAAGCTGTGATTATGTATATTGCCAATTTTTTGACAAATACGTGATCTTGTGCTTGTTATAAATTTCATTGGAAGCATGTGAAATCAAAATAACTGCAAATTTGTAAATTTTTAAAGCACTAGAAACATCCCATTCTTTAAAACATGAAGATTAATTGCAAAGAAAATGTTTTAAAAATGAAGTACATATATCTTATTAATGCATAAGCAAGCACTTAATTGAATTTATACCTTCATTAAGATGAAAGTTAGTCCACATTTGAATATACAGATTTCAAAAGCAATATTCAATACCATTATTTCTTATTTTTATAGGTAAAGAGGCAAAAGCTTTAAAACAAAAGTACTTAGCAAACAGACACTAAATTTAATCAAGTCCAGTTTCTTGAAAAAGAGAATGTCAAGATCAACCTAAATTAAAAAAAAAATAAAAGCCTTGTAAATGAAGCTAAAGCAACAATGAAATAGCAGGAAGGGAAAAAAAAAGATTCAGTGCATAAAAATATGCCCCGTGAATGTATATAAAGCCATAATATTGTTTATTTGTTTCTTTTTTTCTTCTTTTTTTTTTTAATTATTTAGAAAAATTTTGTAGCTATGAAGTGCAGTTTCATTAAGAATTAGCAAAATTCCACAAAGCTGAAGTTCTATTTAGAATGTTTTACCTCAAGTTCCTCATTTCCCTACATGGTGTTTTGGAAAGAAATAAACTTATTAGATTTATACTTCCCATAGAAAAAAGTTTTCTTTCAACAAATGTGTATTGTCCATCTATAAACATTTACATGAATATTGCTTACTGTTGTATACCTGCAACCATAAACAATAACAGTGGTCAGAAATTCTAACACAGACTTAAGGCCAAAAAAATTAATAATTTCTCAGGCCAAAAACATCAAAATTCAAAGCGGCAGACAGGTTTTATTTTCTTTTGGAAGCAGGTGTTATACCTTTCTTTCACATCAGTTGTTCAACAAAATGATGATATCAACTGATTCTTACTTTTTTTTGTTCTCTTACATTAATTATAACGTGTATTCAATTTCAAATAATATTATTCCAAACATCTGTTTAAAATTAAAACAACTAGTATTAATTGTAACGGGGACCGTTACAGATGTTCCCCAAACGCTCCCCAACTTCCTTTTGGTGTCTTAGTCCCTGTAAGCTTCATTAAATAAGGCAATCAAGTATATTGTTCTTTTTACGCATAACACGCGCGCGCACAGGCATGCTTGTACAAAATGACCATGTCAACTTGTCTACACTTTAAATACATCTTAATATTCAAATTTCATCGAAAGATAAAAAAATCGGCTATATTAAGTATATCTGTCAATTTACGCATTGCAAGCGCGCGCACGTGCATGCATGTCCATGACGACCGTGTCATCTTGTCAACACAATTAATATATCTACATATTTTGAGTATCAAAGCATTTCATCAAAAAGTATAAAAGTTACAGCTATATCAAGTATATTGGTCATTTTAGCATTGCATGCACGCGCACGTGCATGCATGTGCAAGTTGACAATGTCGTCTTGTCTACATTTATAATATGTCTATATATTCTGAGTATCAAAGCACTACATCAAAAAAATGTAAAAGTTATGGTTATATCAAGTATATTTGTAATTTTACTCATTGCACGCATACGCACGTGCATGCATGTGTGCGTTGACCATGTCGTCTTGTCTCCACTATTAATATATCCTTATATTCTGAGTATCAAAGTATTTCATCAAAAGATATGAAAGTTTTCGCTATATCAAGTATATTGGTCATTCTACTCAATGCACGCGCACGCACGTGCATGCAAGTGCACGCATGTGTGCGCTGATCATGTCATCTTGTGTACACTTCTAATATATATTTATATTCAGAGTTTCAAAGCAATTCATCAAAAAATGTACAAGATAAGTCTATATCATTTGTATTGATTATTTCAATCATTGCGCATGCGCACACGTGCATGCATGTGCATTCTGATCATGTCATCTTGTCTACACTATTAATATATCTTGATATCCTGAGTATCAATGCATTTCATCAAAAGATTTGAAAGTTATGACTATATCAAGTATATCTGTCATTTCACTCATTGGACGCGCACGCACGTGCACACACGTGCTTGCATGTGCGCATTGACCATGTCATCTTGTCTACACTTCTAATATATATTTATATTCTGAGTTTCAAAACAATACATGAAAAAATGTACAAGTAAAGTCTATATCAATTGTATTGGTTATTTCAATCAATGCGCATGCGCGCACGTGCATGCATGCGCATTCTGACCATGGTATCTTGTCTACACTATTAATATATCCTTATATTCTGAGTATCAATGCATTTCATCAAAAGTTATGAAAGCTATGGCTATATCAAGTATATTGGTCATTTTACTCATTGCACGCGCACGCACGTGCATGCAAGTGAGCGCAAAATGACCTTCGTTCCGCAAATCTACATAACATTCCTATTAACCCTAAAAAGGTTTCACCTCAATCGGATGTGTAGTTTCGGAGATCACTCACGGACAAAAAAGTACCCAGGAAGAAAAATAATAATAACTAGATGAGATCTCGTTGCGAGCAACGAGTAGGTCTTCCGTCCGATTTTTCGATAAGATGAGATATGATTTTGACTATGATCTTTGTTAAAAGATAATAATATATATAGACTTCCCTAATTAGATTTCAAGCCTTTGATTTTATATACATTATCAAAGAGCTATCGATGAATTGCTTTTGGCCCCTCTGAACCCCTAGTTTGAGGGGCAGCCCCTTTTCCTTGATATCAATTGAAAGGTCTTGTGATTTTGAAAACGTTTTGTTCAACAACTATTCAGAGATTTCTTTCCGTTGTGGAAATATGCTGAATGGAAATATTTAGGGGCCACCCCTCCAAGTCCTTAATAGGGCCGTTTGACAGAAATTGAAAGGGTGCATATTGTTAAGAACATTATTATGACCATATTTTGTTCAGTATTGCTTTTCAAAATATTCCCCCTTTTCGAGATATAAAGTGTCAAAGATTTAGTATTCTGGCCCCTTGTGACCCCTTATTACGTAACATATGATCAGAATCTTATCATATATTGTTGTAAATCGTTAAGATAAGTATCTTTGCTTCAGTAATGTATTACAAATTATTGATCGTTAAAGAGTTATAGGTTGAAGACTTTTGGCCCCTCTGAGCCCCTAATTTGAGGGGTCAGCCCCTTTTTCTTGATATCAAATAAAAGATCTTGTGATTTTGAAGACATCTTGTTCAACAACTATTCAGAGATTTCTTTTCCTTGTGGAGATATGCTGAATGGAAATATTTAGGGGCCACCCCTCCAAGTCCTTAATGGGGCCGTTTGACAAAAATTGAAAGGGTGCATATTGTTTAGAACATTATTCTGACCATCTTTTGTTCAGTATTGCTTTTCAAAATATTCCCCCTTTTCGAGATATAAAGCATCAAAGATTTAGCATTCTGGCCCCTTGTGACCCCTTATTACGTAACATATGATCAGAATCTTATCATATATTGTCGTAAATCGTTAAGATAAGCATCTTTGCTTCAGTAATGTATTACAAATTATTGATCGTTAAAGAGTTATAGGTTGAAGACTTTTTGCCCCTCTGAGCCCCTAATTTGAGGGGTCAGCCCCTTTTTCTTGATATCAAATGAAAGGTCGTATTATTCTGCACAACTTTTCTTCTATATGTTTTAACAAATTCTTAACATGTATGAAGATATGAAAGAAAAGGTGTAAAATTTTGTGAGATGTTTCTGAGACATGTTTTGAGCCCTACCGAGCTTCGGCGCCTTTTGCGCTAGAGAGATTTGGACACCTGCCTGCAAATCTACAAACCTTCCCCTACCCTCACTGAAAATCTTGACTCAATATCTGAAGTCGTTTCGGAGGAGTTTCCAGGACAAGCCGACCCTCTGAAAATCAAAAAATCCTAAATATCTCGAGATGGAAAGTGACGTCATCAACGAAAAAAATTTCCAATAAGGTTCAGATCAATACCTATCAGATCTTAAAGTTTCATGAAAATCGGCCAAGACGTTACCGAGAACTTGCGTGCACAAAATCGGTAAGAATAATAATAATAATAATAATAGGGAAAAAGAAACCGAACGAAAACAAGAAGGTCTTCCGTTGCAGACGCAAGACCTTAACTAGAAACTCATTGCGAGCAATGAGAGGTCTTCCGTCCGATTTTGAAAGTAAAAATGTAAATTCAAGCTGAAAAGGTGATAAAAGAAATTCAGACACTTTGGAGATTTAACCCTGGTTGTCAGGGTGAAAATCCAACGTGCTAACCATTCACTTTTTTGCATCACTTCCTGTCACGACCAGAAGTAACGGCGATACAAGATTTCCTCGCGATTCAAATAAACTGATGAATGACTATCAGTTCTGAAAGTTTTAGACTTCAGTCGTTTACTGTTGCCGAGCAATTTCTAATTCTGAGGACAGGTAAACACGCGACCGGAAGTGAATTTTATAAAAAAATCTCTGACGTTTTTCTATACATTTGCAGTATCTACAAAATGCATAAAAACATTTCAAGTACTTTATCGATAAGCAATATTTATGAGAAGGTTAAATATCGAAGTAACGTAGCTTATCACCTAAAACCGGAAGTTGACGTTTTTGTTTCCGGTGGAATCTAACATGTTTCAAAACAGCGAAAGAGATGCAATAAAGTGATGCAAACTTTAATTTAAAAAAGAAAAGTTAAAATTTTTGATTTCTTTGATCACTTCCTGTGACGACCGGAAGTTACGACGGACGCGTTTACCAAAATGGTTTTGCCTACTCTTCAAGGTCTGCTACTCATAAGAATTTGGTGTTTTAATCTTTTACCTGTTTTTGAGATCTCGCTCAGACAATTTTTCATTTTGAGGACAGAAAAACACGCGACCGGAAGTGAATTTCTGAAAGATATTTAAGTTTACTCTAGACCTTTGCAGTCTGAATAACATATTTAAAATTCATTTCCAATACGTTATCTATAAAGAATATTTATAGGAAAGTAAAATACTCAAATTTTGTAGTTTTTCTCTTATAACCGGAAGTCATCTTCGCTAGCCAAGGGTTTCTGATACGCTACTCTCCTCATAAACCCTTGGCATACGGTGCTGACAAAAGACGGGATTGTTTTTGTCACGTGATCATGATTCTTACAGATTGCGTCATCGACAGAAATAAAAAGCGTATTTAAAAAAAATTGTTTTTAAAGAATAATTAACAAGAAGGTATTGAGTTATGTTAATTTGTTACTTAAACATGTAAAAATGCAAATCTACATCTTCAGTATAGATTCTTAATCACATATTATGCACGTTGCTTTAGATATTGGATGACACCATATAGCTATTTATAGAATGGCATGTTATCTTACGGATCATTGTTTACTTGCGTTTTACATTACCGATGTTAAAGAGTCAAGATATATCCCGAACGCAAATATCGTCATTTAGAAAAAACAATTGCTGATTGGTCGAACGATGTCGATCAACTCCAATCACAACTTGAGAAAAAAATCCCAACTTTTTTTAACACCGTATGCCAAGGGCTTATGAGGAGAGTAGCGTATCAGAAACCCTTGGCTAGCGAAGATGCCGGAAGTTGTCGTTTTTGTTTCCGGTGGGACCAACATCTTTCGAATCTGCGAA